ATCTGTCTAGATAGCTTATCTCAACATTCTCGGCATTGTTTATATCGAAATCATAATCGGCTTCGGCATCTTATCTCAACAGATGGTATTTCCATTTTATTACGGCATTAATTATCTGATTTTGTTGCTTAATTCTTATACACATAATCAGTACAGCTTACCATCAAGCTTTATTCATATACTATCTATACCTGTTGAGATAAGATGCCGAAGTCAATATCAATAAATTAGAGAAAGAGGCTTATTAAAGACAAGGCATTAGAAAAGAGCCTTGTAATGACAAGGCATCAAGTAATCTAAAACTGGAAAGATTAGCCGACGTCATGAGTGTATAAATAGGAGAGGTTTTGTCTCCTATCTGTGTTTAGAATCATTAGTTATTAAGAGTTGTATAAGTTGTTTTTAAATAAGCAACGAACATAAGAAAAAGTGTACATATACAATGGATATTCATAATAGAATAGCTAGATTACAACAAGGACCGATCTGTCATATGCGGCCTCGGCCCTGTCAAGGTTTATCAAAACCCCGTATGCAAATCATTATGCTACTGCTAAACATGTTCTTCGGTACATAAAAGGTACTTTCGGTTTAGGATTAGTATTCAAGAAGACCACGAGTTTCAATTAAGTTGGTTACTGCGATTCCGATTGGGCTGGTGATAAGCTGGACAGAAAGTCGATTACCGGTTATGTTTACATGTTAGGAAATACTGCAATAACATGGAAATCCACGAAACAGCAGACGGTGGCGCTATCATCTACTGAGGCAGAGTATATGGCACTGGGTGATGCAGTTAAAGAGTTACTATGGTTAACACAACTGCTGAAACACATAGGACTTAAAATACACAAAGTCCCCTGCATCTTTGAAGACAACGAAGGGTGCAGGATGTTATCAACGCATCCGGTCCATCACCAGAGAACTAAACACATTGATATTAAACACATTTTGTTAGACACCATATTTCAGAAGGAAACTGTGAGATAGTTTCAATCAACACTGAAAATATGGTTGCTGATATGTTGACTAAAAGTTTAGCCAAGATAAAATTCAATAAGTTTGTTGGCCTAGCTGGAATGTCGAACATATCTACAAGTGTTTAGATTATGGTGGGGTGTTGAGATAAAATGCCGAAGTCAATAAGTATCAATAAATTAGAGAAAGAGGCTTATAAAAGACAAGGCATTAGAGAAGAGCCTTGTAATGACAAGGCATTCGATAAGAGGCTTGGAATGACAAGGCATCAAGTAATCTAACACTGGAAAGATTAGCCGACGTCATGAGTGTATGAAAACTAGACGTTTGTCCCTTGTATTTATGTTTGAAACTATTTTTTGTAAGTTAGATATATTATTTATATATAACTAAGCAACGAGAGTAAGATATAATGGATTCTCCTAATATACTACAAACAATGGATATTCAGTTATAAATAAACAGACTACAACATTGTTCTCTATTTTGAGACTGCTGAGTTGATCGTTACCAATTGGTAGCAAATTTGAAGGAAAAAAATTACGTGCTCAATAAAGTATCTTCGCCTGCGAGGAGCACAGATTTGGCACAAAAAAATATGTGCTCAGATGCGCATCTGGGAAAACCCAAAAAGTGCTCAATGAGCTTGTTGAAGTCTAGCTATTCTGTTATGAATATCCATTGTATATTGTTCACTTTATATTATTCTTGTTGCTTGTTTATATATAACTAATATAACTAACCTACAGACTAATACTCTCAATCATAAGTACAGAGACAAACCTCTTGTATTTATACACTTATACCTTCGGTTAAACTCGCCATTATTCATGTATCACGGTGGCTAGCTTTCCAGTTTTAGATTACTAAGATGCCTTATCATGGTGATACCCTTATCTCTTATCTCTCGATCCTTATTGGCTTCGGCATCTTATCTCACCAGCTATGGTAGTTGTACATTATCATTAACCAGGCTCAAATCCTCTTTCCATATCCTTTCTTGAGAGTTTTCACAAATTTTAGGGCACCATAGCCTTTGGCATCTTTTAAAAGAGTTTGAATGAAGAAATATAGCTATGGTTGATACTGAAAAATGTTCTCATCAAGATTGTGTTTTTCAAAACTGAAAAAAAATTCTTACTCTCCTTCAATGGGAAAGATTGAAATTGAGCTGTATTAATTTTGGCTTGCACTTGCCACAAAATGTTTTGAGTAGACGACCTGATAAATCGGAATGTGTTACTCTTGGCATGTGCATTAGTTTAGATTTTCCAAAAAATAGCTTTCTGACTTAGATCATTTATCTTAAAAGAACAACCAAATTTTCAAAGTCTAATTTTTCACGGGTCTGTTGAAAATATCATATATATATCAATAATGTATTTTGCAAACTGCTGATTCAATGAGGTACATAGCAATAATATATGTTAATATATATAGAACCGTTCGTTACCTGATTTGATGAAAAAAAAAAGGGTTGCCGTCAACTAATTTCATTCAAACTAAAAAAAAGCCTGGTAGAATGTACTACTTCAGAAACTGTTGGGATTCTGGATTGATCAGTTGAATTGGGACGTGCCAGCCATGTGTTCCATTTGGCAGCTTTTTCACTTCATTTGCATCCATATATGCTATAGCAATGAGTTATATGCTGTTCATACTATCTATTGAACTAGTTGTGCGAGGTAGAGTTTCAAACATACATGCTTTGAGTATGAGCTTCAATTTAGTTCAAGAATGTCTACGGAACACAACTGGCTTCGTTATTTTTAATATTTCGATTGTTCTCCAGGAGCTAAATGCCACCGGATTTTGCTTGCAATAATTGCCATGTAGGATTGCTGTCGATGTTAGCACATACTCCCTCTCTTCCAGTTACTCTACTGAATGATTACTATCCTTCAATTAAAGTGTAATTGGGTTTGTGAATTCTAATTTACCCGACCCTGACGGTTAGTTTTAATAAATCAAACTTGAAGCAACTAGATACCAGGTGAAAAAATAACTCATTTTCTATCAAGCAATATTCTTGTTAGCAAATCTTAAATACTTCAATTTGTACTTTTATCTTTTAAACCAAATGCTCTGAGTACCTAGAGCTTTTGCAAACAAAAAAAGAAAAGATACATTTTCAACAGCTTAAACAGTAGACGGTAGCAATAAATAAGATGCAGAAACTGAAGCCAAAAGTTTTAGATTTGTCAAATAACTTTGATTTAAGTCAATTTCTTCAATTATATCATCATTCTTTGAAGCGAAGCTTCTGGATTAGCCAAACAATGTTTTAACCAGTAAATTAAACTCATTAAATAACTGAGGTGTTAATGAATAATTGAGTTTGCGACAGAATAGTAGACCAATAAAAGTCAACTATTGATATTTGAAGAAATTTTACAGAAAAACGCTAAATCGTAAACCAAGTTTAAGTATCTTAAGCGAGTTATAATAAAAACGATTTGATGACTTTTATGAATGGTTTATTTGATAATGATGACAGAAAAACTTCAAGCTGAAGCATTGTAATTTACTATCTCAAAGTATACTACCAGTAACCACTACATTAGTGACAACGGCCGAATCTCTGAAAATGGAAAATTGGAAACGTCTTACGCAAATGTATCCTTTTTGGTAAAATTAACGAAAATTTCGACTATAAAAGAATGCTATAATACGAGTGTTTGTTGCATTCGTAAACTGTGTAGTAATAATGAATTCATATTTTCCTAGACATTTTGAAACTGTTTTATTTAGCTCGGTATTTTTTCGAAGATGTACTACACATATTTTCTGGATGCTTCTGAGACGTATGGTATCTATAAGTTCTTAATTTCAATGCTAAGAGGGCTATACCGAAGCTCTGATTCTGTTGAGGCGTTAGAACCCTTGAGGGCCAAATTTGATGAGCAACACGATAGGTTGTATGACTTCTATGCGCAGTGCACGGCGGTTAGGTATCTATCGACGTTGATAACAATTCCAAAGTTGCCATTTGATGCACCTACGTTGGCAGACGAGCAGAAGAGCGTTTCACCTTTGATAGAGCAAGGAATTGTCCAAACACCGGCTGATTATGCCAATGTGCAAAAAGCGGTTTCATCGCAGCCAACAGGGGCGGTTGCGAATGCGTATATGGCAGGAAAACAGGCATACGAAGCGCAGCAGCTGCAATTAGAGCAGCAGCGGCAGCAGCAGCTGCAACAACAACAGCAGGAGCTGGAACAACAAAGACTGTATTGGGAGGAGCAACAGAAAAGAAATTCGGAAGCG